AGGAACAATCCCATTTAACAAACAAATGGTTGAGCTCAAAGTCATCAAAGAAGGTAAAACTCATGTAGTCATGTCATCTTCACAATTTTCTTCTGTATGCTCCTAGAATATCGCTCTTGTGAGTATCTATTGCATATCAGCACCAAAGGAACTTTTGAGGAAAATTCTGTTATATCCTCATTAGTGAGCATATGTTGATAGATCAGTTATCTGTCTTTTTACGTTAGCAAAAGGAAAAGGCAGCAAGTTTACTTGTTTAGCTTGTGTAAGCTTCTGTAGCTGGTTCACTATTTATTTTAATTGTATCTTGTATGTTAACGAGCTTGGAAACAATATGATGCATGTAAGTTGTCTAAAAGGAAGCCCACAGTCCACCAAAATGTTTGTAAGACAACATAGCTCTCAGTGCTTGTGTTTCTATTATGCATTATTAAGCAACAGAGATATTTTTGTGCCAATTTTAAGACCTTTCCTTATATAAAGAAATGATGTCAGTTGACCCTAGTTTTGTCAATGACACATTTATCATTATTGCTGATCTTTTCTTTTATGGTGTTATATGTAAACAGATACCTCTGACTGCTGTTACTTCTGTCATTGATGGCTTGAAAAAACTTTATATCAAAAAGTTAAAGCCTTTGGAAGTTATATACAAGTTCAATGATTTCGTCTCCCCTTTGCTGGTACATACTGTATTCCCATTTTCTGGATACTTTAGGAAACAGAAATGACTACTTTCCTGTGGAATCATTGTAGTATTCATGTTGACTGTTCTTACAGGTGGAGATGGAGTGCAAGGTGAAGCAGTTTACAATTGGTTGAACAAGAAAAAATAGTTTGGTTTCTTTTTCGATATCTATATTTGTGAATTCATTCAAGTATTCATGTTGAACATATAGATGACCAGATATCATATCTGTATATATGATATATCTGCTGATAGATCAGACTGACTCTATTTTTGACATAAGTGTTGACTCCATTCATGATGAACTACTGATTTGTGTATTATTTGAATGAAACCTTGTTGGTCATGCACAGAAATTACTGTATGAAAAATATATATTTTAATATGTTGTTGCTACTGTTTTAAAATAAATTTTTTTGTGTGTTTAACTCTTTTTTCCTGTGAGGCTGGCTACACATAAATATTATTTTTAATCTGGGTGAAATAAATTTTTTTGTGAGTTCACCTAGTCCGACAGAAAAAAAAACGTGTGTTTTTCTGTGCGTTTATTTCTTTTTTCTGTGTGGATTAACACACAGAAAAATTAGTTTTAATCTGGGCGAACACAATTTTTCTGTGCGTATGTTTCTGACGGTGAACAAACAGAATAATTGATTTTTTCTGTCATTATATTTTTGTGAGTATTTTTCTGACGGTAAAATATTTTTTCTGACGGTATTCGTATTTTTCTGTGTGTTTTCGCACACACAGAAAAATACGAGATTCCAGCAGTGATGTTCCGATTGGACTGGAACTGAATGCCTATACACAGAAGATTTCTGCTGAGGCCGAGACTCACGTGCGTGGTCACTGAATGGTGTAGGATCCATCGGCAATAATGGTGTCAAAGCAAAGTTGGTGCGGGACGGTAGCATGGCCAGTGATTGCAACTGCTTCTGCTGCAATTTCTGAATTTTTTGCAACCTCTACGTAAAACATTAATTATCTAGGTTCATTAGCTGTGTACTTCCCTATCCATGAGAGACCATTATGAATGAAACATGCATGTCCAAACGATCCAAAGGGGGGGCTGGGGGGCTCCAGCCCCCCCTAATGTTTTGATTTCAAGCCTAATCACTATAGCAAAAAGTTTAATTTCACCATTAAATTTTCATGCAAATCAACATCTCCATTGTTTTAGCCCCCCCTTATCCCGCATCATGCATCCGCCACTGCATATATCTTACATGAAAAGTTCTGAGAATTTTTTTTAAAAAAAAAGCAAACATGCTTTGTTTGCATGCGTCTGATACGAATGAGTTGCACCGCCTGGAGTACCTCCGATCCATGCCAAAAAAAGAAGATATAACTCTTAGTCTAGTTCTAATCAAACATTATAATTTTAACTAAGTTTATAGAAAAAATAATATCAACTTTTATATCTTCAAATAGATATGTTATGAAAATACAACACGTGACAAATCTAGGGTAGTTGTTTAGTATGTTAAATATTAGTATATTTTTTTACAAATTCAGTGATTAAAATTGATTGTCTTAATTAACATTATTATAGACGTACTTTTATTTGAAGAGCAATGTCAGGAGCTCTGGCTATCAATAATTACGAAAGGAAAGCAAATAGGAGAGGCTGGCCTTATTATCAAACTTCTTGTGCTCTCAGTCATGGGTGGCAAGAAGCTAGGCTGCATCTATGTCTTCCTCACCCCTTTGCGTGGATGTCTAGAAGACGGTCCTACAAATGAAAAATCTAATTAAGCATACAATCCTGAAATATAAGTTATTATCCAAGTGTTTTTTTCAGACTAAATAAAGACCACCTTGCCCCTCTCTAGGAGATTGGTGGGAGACCGCATCAAAGGAAGTTTCCAAAGAACAAAGACTGGATTTCAATGGGGTTTCCATATAGGTTATGTACGTGGACAAACTTATGGGAAAAGCGGGGGTGTCGGTAAATTTTCGAAAACGAAAACCTTAGCACATAGGAGGACATTGACCAACGCACGAAAGCATTTCAATTCATTTCAACTTAGTAGGAGCTGGCTTCCGCCATGCATACATATATAGGGTACTATGTTTGTCTCAATTTCCCTTCGAGTGGGGCAATAGCTTAATTAAGGCTGTTTTGTGGCCCTTATGAGAAGTCTTAGCACGTACTCCCTCTATTCCAAATTATCTGACGTTTTGGCATTTCTAGATATATAGTTTTTCACTTCGTATCTGGACATAATTGTATACCTACGTGCATAACAAAAATCATGAATCTAGAAAAAGCCAAAACGTTGTTTTATAATTTGGGACGGAGATAGTACTGTTGTAGAGTCCTATCCCATCCTTCGCAGTACGACCCAATGAGTTATTAGATATATTGTTTTATTTTAATTGAAAAAAAAGAAGACTCCATCCTGGCTGGTCCAAACGTATGTTCTGCTATCATAGGCTAGACACGATCTAGATACAAGAAAACAGTAGAGATATGATGTTCTACATGCTACCAGCAGTCCACAATCCACATGTAGTAGGGATTATTGTTTTTTGGCCGGCCGGCCGTTTTGTCATCAGTAAAAGTACTAAGTACGTACGGCCGGCCGGGCTTATTAATCGCATGCATGCATGGATGGATGAGACTTAACACTTGAGAGTGCATGCGTGGGGTGGGGTAGTTATTCAGCCTGTTCGCTTGTTGGTTTCAACCAGCCCAAACCAGCCAGCCAACAGTATTTTTCTCTCACAAAAAACCAGCACCAGCCAGCCCAAACCAGCACCAGCACCAACCAGTGAACAGGCCCATTAGGAGATGATGAGACCGGTGACGAACGAACTCACACTCACCTGCGAGGGTGTCGAGCAGCGTCGTCTTGCCACCGCCGGAGGGGCCCATGATGGCGAGCACCTCCCGGGGCGAGCGTGCCCGCTGATCCCGTCTAGGATCCTCACGTCCGGCTCCCCGCGAGGGCTGCCGCCGCCGGCCGCCGACACTACATGAAAAATGGTTTGTAGCAATGGGGCAAATTTTTTATAGGGACGGCCAGTGATGCAGCCGCCCCTACAGTGACGTGCTCGGGAGACCAGAGACCAGCCACCCCTACAAATGGAACAGCAGGGGCGACTGGTGATACGAGCCGCCCCTACAAATGGATCTGATTTGTAGGGGCGGCTCACTCACCAGCCGTCCCCGGTATTTCTATTTGTAGGGGCGGCTGGTGATTGAACCGCGCCTACAAATGCCCGCGTATAATTACCTACCATTTGTAGGGGCGGCTCAATCACCAGCCGCCCCTACAAGTGACCCACATATAAAAACCTGCAGCACCTTCTTTCTCCTCGGGTCACTCACTCCAACCCGTGAAAGAAAGGCGGGGAGACCTTTGGCACCTCCCAAAAATTGCTCTACTTTGATGACAATCATTCCCACATGCTCCACACACACACCCCACCACCACCACCGCCACACACACACATCAAAAAAAAAAAACAAGCACTACATATACGAATCTCTCACACATGCCAATGCTATACACGTATGTAATTCCAGATTCAAATAAAAGTTTGTCGTATGAAGAAATTTTTTAGTTAATATATATCAAATTGGGTTTTCTATTGTTTATATAAAGTTAACCCGTGAGGGAACACGGGTTGATGGACTAGAGGGTATATAGTTTTGAGACAACATTGTGTGCTGTGGCTGGTACTATATGTACGTGTTGACCCCTAAATAGCACTAGGATGAACTGAGAAATTAATATTGATCGGCAAAGCTCTTGCCGTCTTTTCTAAAAGAAACTGAGAAATTAAATTAGAGGCTCCATTATTATATTCATATATCTATCACTCACTCGTCTTATAATTGGGCCCGGCAGAGTCGGCCGACCTAGATAGAGGGCTACGTTCGCTTAAGCTTATAAGCCAGAATCATCCTTACTTTTTCAGTCATGAAACAGTGTTTTTCTCTGACAACAAATGAGCCGCAGCTGTGACGATGGCCCGGCCCAACCGCCCAAGCACACTTATTTCTCACAGAGTAATAAACAAATCAAAATGTGTAATAAAATGGTTCCTGTTTATATATCAAAAAATATGCATACTGCATAGTACACACAAGCTAGCTAGCTATAGCTTGAATTTATTAGTGAAGATGATATATCCTACGGAATATATTTAAAACTGCTTTCACGCACTAATTTCTGACAATACATATAGTCCTATAAACAGTCAATTCATTTTTGGCCAGATCGAAAAACTTGTGCGCCCCACTATTTTTTTTAATTTACCCGAAAAAGTGAAGGAATGTCAAGAACGATGATGTATAATCTAACTAAACGAACAAGTCGAGCAGCTGTGCCGAACTGGGCCTCTCATCTGGCACGACGACCCGTGCCAGGCCCACAACACAGCCAGCAGCAGCAGGCCCACCACAGCCCACCTCCTCTTCGGTAGCAGTAGTACTAGGCCCACCACGGTGCCTCCTCCTATGGCCGCCAAGGGCCTGGCCCGTGGAGAAGCCCAGCCCACACGCCGCGCATGCGTGGACCAGCACCGCCTTTGACGACCGCGTCTTCTTCTTGGTCGTCGTCGGCCGCCTGAGGTGGCTGGTCCGGTGGCCGCCCAGCGCCTGGAACGTCGGGAACTCCCGCCCACACGTCCGGCAGTCGAACGACGACGACGCCTGCTGCTTCCCTCGCCGCCGGCGACGGCGGCCACGCAGCACACATGGCGGCGGTGAGTTTGCCGGCGGTGTGCCTGCTGCTGGTGCTGCTTCCGAGGAGCAGCAGGACGAGGACGAGCCGCACGACAGAGTGAGGAAGACGTCGTCGCCGTCGAAGCATGACGGTCCATGGAGATGGTTAATAAGGCGTTCCATGACGCGACGTGCGTGCTTCTTATGCTAGCTTTCTAGTACTGTATATTTGTACACTCTGTGAGCTTTGGCTGCTGCTTAAGATCGAGCTGAGGTCGATAACGCTTGTGTGCAAGATATATATAAAGGGCAAGATCGAGTCTTGGATATATATATGGTTGTGATCCAGGTGAGGATACATGACTTTTCTATGTATGTTCATGTTCGTTTCACACACTGCTGGGGCCAAACAAGGGGTGCTTGCCGTGGCCGCGTGTAGTATTCCATCGATGGTAGTACTACTAGTGCATGCGCGTGGCTCGTCAAATCAGCTAGCAGGCTTTTTTATTTGCAGCCTTCGTGGCTGCTGCTGCTGCTGCTGCTGGTTTCTTTCTCTTAGTAGTACCTTCGTCCCTCTTGCTAATGCTTATTACTACTCAGCCTAGCTATCTACTACTAATGTAGAGTATATATATTTATTGACTTTTGCTATTTATTTGTTGACAATTTTTTTTGTACTAAATCTGCCATATTTCTATCGTTAGATTGTGCTTTAAGATTTGTGCTACAACTATCTATTAGGTCGTATTTATAAAAAAAATCGTGATTTGGCTATATAAAATCATCGAACGATAACTAGACACTCCCATATTCATTTTACCTAGCTAGCTAATCTGGTACGTACTGCTTAATTAATTTAATTCAATTAATTGCATGCAACTTTTTGAGAAATTCAGTCATATAGCCATGCATGTGCTGAATCGAATAAGGAATTATTATTGTTATTGTTATTGTTATTATTGTTATTGTTATTATTGTTGTTGTTGTTGTTGTTATGGTTGTTGTTGTTGTTGTTGTTATTGTTGTTGTTGTTGTTTTTGTTATTGTTGTTGTTATTATTATTATTATTGAGCGAGCATTAGGGTCTGTTCGCTAGAACTTATCAGCTATAATTTACAGTATTTTTATCTCACAACAAAATAGCTGCAGCCGGCTTAACAGCTGGCTTTAATGCCAGCCAAACAGGCCCTAAGTCTGCAGCGTGCGAACAAAGCTGATGTCTCTAGATCGATCTCGACTATATCAACGCGTCCATCCATGTTATTAAGAAATGACGTACCCTACGTACCGGAACGTAACGCGCTTGACCATAACCGCTAATATTACATGTCATTGAATTCTATTCAATTATTCATGCGCACAAATAGACTTCTGAGCAGTGACCACTTGGACAGCTGCCTATCTATCTACTAGTATCAATTTGTAAAACATATAGGGTGTTGTTTGGTTGAGCAATGAGAGTGGAAACTGTAATGCAATCAATTGCCAGTGTCAACAGTTACAGGGGAACTAAAGTTGCTATTTGTTTGGCTCGTGGTGTGAGTGCTATAAGGAAAATGGACCCTAGTCCCATTTACTTTGGATTTTGGTGTTTTATGACCAACACAACTAAATTGGACTAAAAAATTTGCAAGTGTTTATTTTGTAGTTCAATAGGGTGCAAGACGTGACTTGGATGAAGACGATGTGATGATCCGATGAACAACACCATAAGCAAGATCTTAGAAGCACAGGAGAAGACCCAAGATATCAAGCAAAGTCCAAACACGAAGATAGGAACCAAGCCGGACGTAAGATCGCGAAGAAACGAGCTCACAGAGGTGACCGAACGCTGGACCGGACGCTGGACAGCTCACAGATGTGACCGAACGCTGCACCGAACGCTGGACAACTCACAAAGGTGACCGGACGTTGGACCGGACGCTAAGCAGCAAAGTGACCGGACGCTGGGTGCCAGAGTCCGGTCAACATCAGTAAGGTTCCAGAGAGCCGTTTTCGTGACCGGACGCTGGTCAGAGTTCGGTCAGTAGCAGAAAAGCGGGATTTCGTCCCCAACGACTACTTTCTCAGTGGGGCTTATAAATAGACTCCCAATCGGCCATTTGAGTAGAGTGGAGCTGAGGAAACATATCTAGGGTGTTGATACACCATTTTAGTGATATCCATTTGCATAGTGCTTAGTGTTTCATTAGGTGATTAGCGTGGGTGCTTTGCGAAGTGCTTAGGTTGATTAGACTACCGCTTATGCGCTTGCTCTAGGTTTAGGCCTAGTGTTTAGTGAGGTTTGCATACCTCTTACCACTCGGTGCTTGCGCGCACCATTGTTGTACATCGGAGGGGCTTGTAGTCTTGAGAGATCACACCAACCGCGTTTGTGGTGTGGCCGCCACCGTGTACCGGAGAGAACAAGGCCTGCGGTGTTTCGGCCGGAAGCTTGATAGTGAAGACGGCGGGGAGCATCCAGGAGAGGCTTGCCGAAAGGCACGTCGGAGACCCACTTGCTCGTGGGGAAGGCCCGAGGCTATCTATGGAGTTACTCGACCGGGAGCTTGGCCCTTGCGATGGATTCCTTGCGAGGGGCTTCAACGAGGACTAGGAGGAAGCTTGCGCGCTTCTCGATACCTCAGTAAAAATACCGGAGTCGTCGACGGGGGTTTGCATATCTCTACCTTGCTCTTTAGCTTTCGCATTTACATTGATTACATCACTCCTTTTGCGGTAGAGATAGCAACACACTAGCAAAACTGTAGTTGCACATTTAGATAGTTTATCTTTTATATAGGTTTTGCTAAGGGTAGAAAAAGAGGTCATAGTTTAGAAGTTGAATTTTAAGTTGCATAATTCACCCCCCTCTTAGGCGTCACGGTCCCCTACAAGTGGTATCAGAGCCAGTTGGCTCAATTTGGACCTTTGGCTTAACCGTCGTTGAGCCGACGCTTTTTAGAGTGGTTGGGATAGATACCTGTAGGCCTCCGCACTTTGACGGCACTAACTTCTCCTATTATAAAGCTAGAATGGCTTGCTACCTTGAGGCGATTGATTTAGGTGTTTGGAGAGTCACTCGTGACGGGTTGAAAACCATTAAGAATCTCGATAAACCCACGAAGAGTGAAGAAAAGGAAATTCATTTCAATGCTAGAGCTAAAAATTGCTTGTTTGAATCATTTAGTATGGACATGTTTAACCAAGTGTTCACTTTAAATACGGCACATGAAATTTGGTTAAAACTCCAAGAGCTTCATGACGGCACATCTAATGTCCGTGAGCAAAAATATTGTTTAGCTAAATAAAATTATGATTCCTTTACAATGAATGATGATGAGCTTGTTCGTGATATGTATTCTCGTTTGAATCTAATTATCAATGAGCTCCATTCAATAGGACTAACAAAGCTAGATGATGTGGACATCGTGAGGAAGATCATCTCTGTGCTACCACAAAAGAAATATGCAAGCATCATCACCATCCTTCACAACATGGAGGACTTGAGCACCATGACCCCCGCCATAGTCATTGGCAAAATAGTGACATTTGAAATGTCACGCAAGATGGGTCAAGAAGAAGCCTCTTCATCAAGCAAAGGCAAAGCTCTCGCATGTAGCGAGAAAAAGAAGATGAAGGGCAAGCAAGTTGAGACAAGCTCAAGCTCAAGCTCCTCAAGTGAAGATGAAGAAGAAGATGAGGACGATGATAATGATGACGAAGATTCAAGTGAAGATGATCAATCTTCCTCCTCCACCTCCGACCTTGATGAAGAATCAATCAAACTAATCAATAAGGTGAAGAAGATGATCCAAAGGCTCAATGTCAAGAGTGTGCCCATTCAAATTCAAGATATTATCTTCACCAATCAAAGAAATGAGAAAAAAAAGAGAGAATGCTATGGATGCGGCGAGTTGGGGCACTTTGTGAAAGTTTGTCCAAACAAGCCCACACCCAAGACAAAGAATAAGGCGTGCAAAAACTAAGCCCTCACATCAATAAAGTCATGGGATGATTCTTCAAGTGAAGAAGAACACCATCACAAGAGGCGAGGCCGCAAGCACTCATCATCAAGCTCTTCTCGTGTGTGCCTTATGACACGAGGTAACAAATGTTCATCCTCTAGTGAGAGTGATAGTAATGATGAAATGCCTTCTTATGATGAAATTGTGCAATAAAATCTTAATTATGCTAAAGTTTGCACAAGTCAACAAAAGAAAATCGAAAAATCTTAGTGCTGGAGTGCATATACTTATCTTGATATAGCTTAAGACCTAGTCTTGCATAGGTCAAGCTAGTCGTGGAACAAAGGTGTCGAAGATGTACCTTTGTTAAGCATATCCAAAACCTGCTGGCATGCATGTTCGTTGTCTCCAAAAAACAAGCTTTTGGAAGTTTCTCTGAACTTGGAACTCAAGTACACTGCGTACGGCTGTCGCTGTTGAGTGACACCTGCGAAAGTTTCCAGGAAATTCAGCTGATGCTGCCTTCGTTGTTTGCAACAACCGACACCAAAATGAATTCACTGACGACTCGATCCATCGACTCTGCTTGCCGTGTGACCGTGTCCGCGTGTAGTATTCCTTCGATGGTAGTACTACTAGTGCATGCGCGTGGCTCGTCAAATCAGCTAGCAGGCTTTTATTTGCAGCCTTCGTGGCTGCTGCTGCTGCTGGTAGTTTCTTTCTCTTAGTAGTACCTTCGTCCCTCTTGCTAATGCTTATTACTACTCAGCCTAGCTATCTACTACTAATGTAGAGTATATATATTTATTGACTTTTGCTATTTATTTGTTGACATATTTTTCTTTTACTAAATCTGTCAGATTTCTATATGTCAGATTTTTACTAATGTTAGATTGTGCTAATCCGGTATGTACTGCTTAATTAATTTAATTCGATTAATTGCATGCAAGTTACTGAGAAATTCAGTCATATAGCCATGTATGTGCTGAATCGAACAAGGAATTATTATTATTGAGCGAGCATTAGTCTGCAGCGTGCGAACAAAGCTGATATCTCTAGATCAATCTCGACTATATCAACGCGTCCATATGTTATTAAGAAATGACGTACCCTACGTACCGAAACGTACACACTGGACCATAACTGATGCTAATATTACACGTCTTTGAATTCTATTCAATTATTCATGCGCACAAAAAGGACTTCTGAGCAGTGACCACTTGGACAGCTGCCTAT